CGGTTTTTCTTCAGTCACGATGGTGACATTATGCATCCAAGAATTAATTGTAATAAATACTTATTTTCTTGGGTAACTGAGATTTCAAATTACATGAGAAATTGTTATGTTAAATAAAGGGAAGGCATCTGTTTATGATTTCTACAATAAGAAAGGGAGGGAGTGTGAATTTTAATACAACACAGGCCTGCAATAATATTTCTAAAGAACTCTGAAATTATCCCTCCAAGATTGCTTGACTTTTAAAGTCTATCAACTCAGTTTTTGTATCAATACCTACAGTGTGGCCCTGAAGCCACTTACAAGTGTCAGCAAACAATTAAGTCAGTGACAAAAATGCTGAGTCTCTGGAGATCAAACAATGATCCTGTTTGTGGCAATCACTACTATCCATTTTTCTCCCGAGAATAATTATGTGTATAAAGAACCTTAGAAAAGAGGGCCCAGCCTTGCCCTGGAGCCTCTCCCTTTCCGGTTCATCTACTATGGCCTACTCTGTGGCCTTGCCAATACTACATGAGTAAACTGCCACTCACTGACCCCCTGGAACCGGCTTGGTTTACTGCCTTTGGTGGTTCTGCCCGACCTAGCTACTTCCTGTCCATCATTAACATTCAGTTCAACCATCACTCAACAGTCTCCTGGGAAACTTCTCCAGCCCCTGTACCAGTCCATGCCTGTCTGCTTTTCCCAGGGCACTCAGGGTTTCCTTTTACACAACACTTAACACTGGTTACTATATTCCGTTGTTACTGTACCTAAAACTGAGTTCTTTGAAGGCAAAGCACTTGATTTACCTCTTTCTCAGGCCTAACATGGTGCTGAGTACTCAATTACCACTCAACAGATAACCACTCAACAGATATGTGCTGAACTGAATGAGACCTCCAAGGGGCAGATTTAGTGCTGAGCTGAAGGCCTGCTGATACTGTTGCTAAGAGCCAGCTCCTCTTCCAGGCAACAGCTGCAGGCTCCTCCCCCACTTGTCAGACCCTTCTGCAGGTGGTAGAAGCAGAGCAGATGTTGGGGCTGTATTGCTACTGGTAGTACCAGGGGAGAAAAACAACACAACTAAAGTAAAAACCAGTTTTGTTTTGTTTTTTAAAGTCTTGCCGGCTCTTACACCCCACACTTCTCTTGCCAGCATTCAGGGTCTGCTGCTAAAGAGATGCAACCTCCCCACCCCTTGCTCTAAGTGTTTCTTTCAGCAGGGGCAAGTATTTGGCCCTTTCAGCCTCACAAACCTTAATCCTAACCAGGAAAAAAAGAAAAGATCCTTTGATCTTTAAGACTAGACCTTCAGAGCCTACTCTACCTAGATAGCAAAAAGATAATACTAGGTATGGTCCTAAAAAGAAGTTATTTGATACAGAAACAAAAAATGAACAAATGAGTGAATGAAGGAAAGAAAATAATTTTAAAAAAATCATTATCATCATTTTAGAGTGGTCTGAAACTTATTATGTAGTCCAGGCCGGCTTCAAACTCTCAGTGATCCTTCAACCACAGCTTTCCAAGTGCTGGGATTACAGGCATAAAGTACCTGCCTAGCCTTAATGATTTAACTGTAACAGCAGAAAGGCAAATCCTATGGAAGATAATGTGTCTTCATGGACCAACACACCATAATGATGACAAGAGGAAGAAAAGAAAGATGAAAACCCAGGTTCTACATATATGCACTGCTCTTAATCCTCATCTCTAACAATAACCTTCCACAAACTTTGGAGTAAAATGGAATGAATGGATGACAACTTCTCATGAAAATTAGAAGTGTGATTCCATCCAGCAGAGGGCACAAGTACGTTGGGACCAGAGTTCAGATGTTAATCCCTCACTCTGCCCCAAATCCTGGCAGCTTTACCTTCCTAAATAATGAAAAAATTCAGTATTTCCTGAAGAGTAAATCTACATCATTTGTTCAGGCAGTAATCCAAGGCTTTGCTTTATTCAGTCATTTGAAGAACTATTCTTCCTTTAGGGAATCATGGTAACTTTTTTTTTTTTTTAAACATCCTGCATTCTCCCAATAAGGTACTTCCTGAAGTTTGTGAGGCACTATAAAAATGATCTAAGGATTAAATGGAGTTCTGAACTTTCAACTTTAAGAACCATAAAGCGTAAGGCTTCTCCACTGGCTACTGCTTGCCTCTCACTATTGTTCCCGCTGGCCTACTACAAACTGACCCCTTAAAAGACAAAGCCTTTTCTTCTTGAGGAGTGCTCACTCAAACTGAAAAGCTAAGCTAACAGGTATCCACAACAACACTGTTCAGTGTAGATCTCTTGTAGCTATGTGCTGGATTAACAGTGACAAGCAGAGTGTGCTGGGTCTTCAGCCCACTGAAGAGAAGCAGGTAGGTCTGTGGCCTCCCTAACAGCATAAAAAAGTATGATACAATAGTGCATTTACCACTGCATTAATGAAAAAAAAAAAGTACTATTGCATTAATGAGGCTAAGGTTAGCACAAAGCATATTATTTCTTCAAATAAATAAAACATAAAGTTGGTCTGTTAAAAGTTCAGTTCTTTATAGCTTATTTAAGAGACAAGATAAAATAATTGATAACTAAACATGACAGTTTTTTAAACCTTGAAGCCAGTTTCCAAGCAAAAAGCATTTTAATTATCCCAGTCAGGTGAACTGAGGGGAGAGAAGGCAACAGGATTAACAATGCTAAAACTGCGAGCTGAGCTTATATTTGAAGAAAAAAAACAAAAACAAAAACAAAACCCTAAAACACAGAATCAAAAAGAACTAACCTTAGTAGATAATTATAAATAAATAGAGTAAGAATAATAAATAGACCAAAGTAATGATCAGTGTTAATGATACAATTTTCAATGTGATTGAAAGCTACCATTTATTATGTACCTATCATACCTGGCAAGCACTATTAGGTACAACATAAAATGATGTCATGCAATCACCGTTCCTATGAGGTCAGTATTGACACTTAATGGCTGAAGAGGCTCAGAGAAATGAAGTAACACAACGACCAAGTGACACAGCCTGAATACGATTACAGGGGCTGTATTAAGTCCAAAGCACAAGACCTTTCCACTTGCATGATGCTGTATCTCAAGCATAAAAATGTGACAATCTCAAGCATAAAAATGTGACACGAACCTTAAAAACATTTTACAAACACTCAGAATTAATCTCACTGGCCATTTAATCTCGCTGGTACTCACACGTTGGCTCAAGCTGGGGGTTAAGAGGGCAGGGAATATAGTAAAAAGCCAAAGAGTGGCCATCTGAGTGGGTGGAAACAGAACCAGGGCTGACTTAAGGACAAGGCGTTCCTCCCTCACTCTGCCAGGGCAGAGATCCGCCATATCCACACCCCAGGAAAACATCTGTCAACTCACGACCTTCATCTCAACACCGCAGACACCTTCGGTTTATTTGAAAAGGTTGTGGTTTTTAAAGACTCTTTCCTAACGCAGAAATCCGAACAGAAAGTAGTTCTAAACTATCTCTCACCATCTAGCAATCCCCCTTCATTGTTCTGTGTCACCGCCATTATTCAATTTCCCACTACTTCTTTTTTTTTTCCCCCCCTAACTTGCACTTCCCTACCTGCCTTCTCCCCCGGACTGCAGAAACTCCCGTCATATCCAGGCCCCTACTTTCTCCGAGAGCGAACTAATCATCTCTCCCACACCTTGACGGTTTTACCCACTCAACAGCTTTTCATACGAGAAAAAAAAAAAAAAAAAAAAAAAAATCCCCATCCCCCAAATCCTAACCTTCCCCATTCACCACTCCCAGAATCTTCTATCCCTCTTCCTCGCCTCAGACTCTTCTGTGCCCCCCAAAACTCGCCCCCCCGCCCCGCCCCGCTCCGCCAGAGTCAATCCCACCTCCACCTGCCTCCTGGCGACCCCATCCTCCTCTCCCCCACCGCAGACCCCTCCTCCTCCCACCACTGAGGCTCCTCTCGGCACCCGTCTCTCCACCTCTTCCCTCAACCTTCGGAGCCCCCTTTCTCCACGCCTCACTCTCCCCCAACTTCACAGCCCGCAGCCTCAACTTGTTTCTTCCCTGCCCCCCATTCCAACCCTAGCCTCCTTCCTCCCGTGCACCCCTCGACCCCTTTTCCTTCCCCCCTTCCCCACACTCCCACCCAGGCCGCTCCCCAAGTCCACCCCAGCACACTCGCTCCCGCCCAGAACCCCGATTCCCACACACGCCCTCAGCCCGAGCCCGCACGCCGCCGACCCCACCCCGAAGCCCACCTCAGACGCCCCAACATCTCCATCCCCGCTCCCCTCCCTCCGCGAGCTCTACCTCGTCCCAAGGGCCTTCCCCTCCCCCAGCCCCTCACACCCCGCCCCCGCCCCCACGCGCTGCCCGAGGCTCGGCGAGCGGCCCTGCCCGCGGCCGCCACCTACCTGTGCCCCTGCCCGGGGCAGCGAGCGGCTGCACCTCACAGGCGGCTCCTTCCTCCACCGAGTGGCTGACCAGGAAGCGGCTTGGCACCCTAGACCACAAAGCCCGTGAGGGTGGGACACACACACACACACACACACACACAGACACGCACACACAGGGTGGCAAGAGGGAGGGGCCGGGGGCGACCTGGCGCCGCGGGACCGCGGGACCAGCGGGGCGGGGGAGGCCTCGGCTGGGTAGGCGCGCGTGCGCGGGGCCGGCATGGGGGGCGTGGCCTGACCTGGGGTGGGCGGGGCCCTGGCGGGGCGGGGCCGGGAGTGGGCTGGGACAGCCGCTCGGAGACAGCCCGGCAGTAGCGGCAAGGGTGGGCGGGGCTGGGCGGGGCGCGTGCGTGCGTGGCCGCGCGAGGGCGTGTCCCCCTGAGGCCTCTGCCGCCGCGGAGCTTGGGTAAGGGGAGTCCCGAGGCGAGCGGCGCGGGCGAGGTGGCGCATCCAGGCGGGACGTGTGCCAGGGGAGGGCGGGGTGGAGCTGCGCAGGGCGGCCGCTGGGAAGTCCGCTGAGGCGGGGCGGGGAGGAGCGGGGCGGGGCGCGCCAGGCGGGGATAGCGAGCGGACGGTCCCCTTCCGAGGAGCTAGCCGAGGCCCGGGCAGAGCGGCTCTGCGCTGCACGGTGGGCGGGCGCCCGAGAGGTGGGAGCTCGGTGGCGAGGCTGGCGGAGGGATGCGGGCGGGAAGGAAGCGGTTGTGAGGACACGCGCGGCCGACGACCGCGGGCGATGTCGCTGGCAGAGGGCCTGGCTTCTCTTGGTCCTGGAGACCTAGGCCCACTCCCCGAGGATCTTTTAGTGCCCCGTAATGATGCTTTGACCCCTCAAGAGGAAGAACAATTACAAATCACAGTTAGTATACCAAATGTAAGACATCAGCATCGTCTGAACCCGAACGGTTATAAATTGTATTTCAAGTCGATGTGGGTGCGTTCAGGCTATTTGAAATCATTTGGGCCTGGGACTTGCGGAGGAGGTGAGAGGACCGTGTCTAGGCCGCCACCTAAGAGGCAGAGGATGACTGTTTTTAAACTGACACCAGACTTACCAGTGGACGGTAGAGGAAAGGATTTGGGGCATGTAGATGTGGCCAACGAGAAAACCAACCCAGGACTTGACCCAGAGGTTTTCTGAAAGAAGTATCAGAGAGGGCCACACTGTGTGTGTGAGAAGAAATCCAATAGTCCTGGTGAAGGATAAGGCACCCAGTGCCCCTGACTGTAAAACCCAGAAAAGATGGATGGTATCCTAGAGCCTACCACTTTGGTAGACCCCCTGAGGGAATTCACGCTTACTTAGATCTAGCATGTCCTCTCAAACCGAAATCTTGGAGCTGTGGAAACGTGACTGCGGTGTGGTTTCATTGGCACGTGAAGTTGGCTTGCCTCTTTCTCATTATTTACAACAAAAACTTAATAAAAGCCCAATCTCGGCTGGGCGTGGTAGTTCAAGGCCAGCCTGGTTTACTAAATATGTCCAGGACAGCCAAGGCTACACAGAGAAACTCTTGAAAAACAAAACGAAACAGCACGATCTTGGCTGGTTTCTTCTTTGTTTAACGGGACAGATACTGGTGGTTCTAGCAGTATCCATTATGTATTAAAGCACTTGACTGCTTTTTTCTTAGAAAAAACTGAGTATTTGAAGAGTACACTCTGTATTCTGTTCATCTACTATATCTGTCAATATGAGAACATTTCCTTAAATGGTAACTTATTATTTATTTATTTAGAGAGCAGGTCTCAAGCCCAGGAAGTCCTTAAGCTCATTTCCAATCCTCCAGCCTTCACCTTCATGGTATATAGGACATCACACCTAACTTATAATTCTTTTGAAAATTAGTTGATTCTCCCTTAAAATTTTCTATCCACATGAGAGTACATACTGCATTTACCTGTTTTGAGACATTTACACCAATTCAAATAGCAAAAGTAGAATTAGGAAATATAAAAACCACGCATGTGTCTATCATCCTTTTGCAGAGGGCATGGGTCTGGAGGGACACTAAGTTTTTCAAAACATTTGTTTTTGTAAATCTTTTATTAGATTTATTTGTGTGTGCAGGAGGGCCATGCTCACGAACTTTTTCTCTCCCTCCAAACAGTGTGGAGCTTAACATTGTCCTTGAGACATCCTGCTAGAACTGAACACTGTATTCTGGATGTAAATCACACTGTCAGAATCCAGTGTTTCCTTTATCAGCTTGACAAGAACCAAATTTCAGTTGCAATTGTATTAATCGAGTGTATTACCTTGGTCCTTAGTATGTGTGAGCCCCTTATTGGTGTTCAAAGAATTTGATGGAATGGACTCTCTCTTAACTTCTTAAACTGTGTTTTGTTTGGTTAGGATGCTAGATCTCAAACCTAGGGTTTCATGCCTGCCAGGTGGGCACTTTCAGATTGGCTACACCCCCACCCTATCTTTTAGTATAATCTAAAATAACATTTAAAAAATTTACCTTTGGGACAGTGTTGTCTTATATTGAATTTTTCATGGACTAAAACAGTTAAATTTTAATATATCTAGATCAAGGGTCATAAAGGGCCAAAAAGGATTTTAGGCTTTATAGTCAGATGGTCACTCAGTTCTGCTACACAAAGCCATAAACAATCTGTAAACGTTGAGTATAACCTGTACCAATGAAACTGCTCTTTGTAGCTTGTTCTCTCTCTTCCTCCTTCACTTTGATTGAACCCAGGATCATAAACATGCCACACACATGCTATACAACTGAACTACGCCCCCTCCCTCGGCCATTTCTTTTTGAGAGCCAGTTCTGCCATTTAGTGTACAAACTAACATCTCAGCTTTGCCTTGTCTGCAGAGTTAATAAGCATGCTTCTTATACCTTAATTAACAAAGATGTTATTTCAAGTATCTTTACGTAATTGCCCCCTCAACCCACGGTTAGGGTCTTGCTCTTTAGCTGATGGACTGAAGTTTACTCTATAGCCCAGGGTGCCGAACACTTGTGATAATCTTGCTTTTAGCCTCCCACATGCGTTGATTACAGATCTGTGCCACTATGCCAAGCCACATAAGTGCTGAGTAGGATTATAGCTCAACAGTAGTTCATGGGCCTAGCATTCTGAAAGCCCTAGCTTCCTAGCACTATACAAAAATATTCAAATTTTAAGAAGTGCTGAATAGGAAAATAATAAAAATCTCCTACAAGTTTATTTTGTTTTCCTTGAGTATAGCCATTCAAAGAGTTATAAGTAACTGTTGAAAGTACTGTCTGCCATCCAGCCCTGGCCCAAAGTGTATCTTCCTAATATTTGTTAAAATTTGTATAACAGGGCTGGAGAGATGGCTCAGAGGTTAAGAGCACTGACTGCGCCTCCAGAGGTCCTGAGTTCAATTCTCAGCAACCATCTATAATGAGATCTGGTGCCCTCTTCTGGCATGCGGGTGTACATGCAGACACAATGTTGTATACATAATAAATAAATATTAAAAAAAAAAATTTGTGTGACAAACATGTTCCTAACTGATAGGAACTCCAAGAAAGAAAAAGAAAGCTACCTTGGTATAACTTATTAGTTAATGTTTTTATTACCTTCAATTCTACTTGTGTCTACATTTTCAATTCTTAATAAATTTTATTTGTTATTAACATCTAGGTCCATCAGCATGTATATATAGGAATTCTCCGTTTTTCTTCTTTTAGAAGTAAGCCTTAACATATTCATCTGAGTAGGGTTTGGTGGCGCACACCTTTGATCCCAGCACTCAGAAGGCAGAAGCAGGCAGATCTCTGAGTTTGAGGCCAGCCTGGTCTATAAAGGGAATCCAGGAAGAGAATCCAGTATAGCCAGGGCTAAACACAGAAACCCTGTCTTGAAAACAAAGAAACAAACAAACAAAAACAATATTCATCCATTACCAATTCTCTGGTATCAGTAGTATAAAGGTGGTGGAGAGATTTGTCAAGAAAAATGCACACAGAAGTGTTAGAACTTGTCTTTCACAGTATGACGACAGCTTTCAGTACTATTGATACTGTTTTAAACTCTAAGTGAAACTTTTTGAAACTTTTAGGCTAATAGAAAGACTGAAAAGAAATGAAATAAAAGGTATCAGGAATTAAAATAATGCCTACAAGATGGTTCAGCAGGGAAAGTGCTTGCTATATAAGCGTGGGCTTATATGAGTTTGTGGGCAAGCGTGAACGTGATACCCCGAAGTCACATAAAGATGGAAGAAGAGAACTGACTCCTCAGTTGTCCTCTGACCTTCACCGACTGTGGAGCTCACACCCACATAAACATCATACAGACACACTTAGCAGTAATAATAAAGTTATTAAAAAATGTAGATTATAGAAATTATTGAAGAGGTATAGAAATCCTGAACAGAACTACCAAATTTGAAATAAAAAGTTGTCCTAGAGCTGGGCTGGGTGGCACACAGCTACTCATCTGTGATTCTAGCACGGGGGAGGCCAAGGCCAGAGAATCCAGGTTTGAGGCCTCACTGTAAACATAGTGAGAACTTGTTTGAAAAGAAAGAAAGAGAGAGAGAGAGAGAGAGAGAGGGAGGGAGGGAGGGAGAAAGAAAGAAAAAGAAAACAAAAAACAAGGACCTACAAACAGTAAATCGGGTATGGCTCAAATAACCCCTTACTGTGTGTGTGTGTGTGTGTGTGTGTGTGTGTGTGTGTGTGTGTGTACCACTGTGCGCATGTGTTACAAAACCTAGACAAGCACTCTCCCACTAAACCATTTCCCCTAATAATCCCTACTCTAAATAAATTGTTCCAACAACTAGAAAAAGAGGGCAAACTTTCCAGCTCCTTATTTTTTTTAAATATCTTAATTTCAGGGCTATAAAACTGATTAATTGACAAAAATTCTAAGTCTTTGGAAAAGAATACATCTTGGGCATGTAGACTTTTTTTTTTGGCCAGGATCTGGGGATACTGTAGCAACAAACAAACAAACAAAAACAACTTTATTTAAATGATCACATTAATCTCCTTAAAATTTATATGCTCATCTTAATACATGTATTTTATAGGCTGTTTATGCACATTTAAAAGAAAAAATTTAACTAGTACAAAAGAGTTTTTGCAACAATAAGATCTAATAAAATATCAGTGACTGTGACATTTAGTGCCAAAATGTGGTAAATACTCATTGTTTGGCTAAAAATAAAATTTTTGAATGTTGTTTTTAAAAGATTCCCTCTACAGTAGCAGTAAAAACTATGATGACCAAGAAGATGTTGATAAAGCTGTGAAATATTTTAAGCACTTAAAAAGTCTTAAGCAGGGTGGTGGTGGGGCACGTCTTTAGTCCCAGCATGTGGGAGGCAGAGGCAGGCAGATCTCTAAGAGCCCGAGGCCAGCCTGGTCTACAGAGCAAGTTCCAGGACAGCCAGGGCTACCCAGAAAAACCCTGTCTTGCAAAACAAAACAAAAAAGTCCTAAGTAAGTACAGACATATGCTAGATACATGACATTCATGGAAGCATGCCAATTCTTTCCAATTTAATCTGTAAACTTAACTGAATTTCAATAATCTCAAAAAGCTTTTTTTTTTTTTTAAGGTAATTTTTTGTTGTTGCTTGGGTTTTTTTGGTTGTTGTTTTTTTCTAAGACTTATTTATTTATCATGTATACAATATCTGTGTACATGTACAGAAGAGGGCACCAGATCTCATTATAGATGGTTATGAGCCACCATGTGGTTGCTGGGAATTGAACTCAGGACCTTTGGAAGAGCAGACAGTGCTCTTAACCTCTGAGCCATCTCTCCAGCCCTCAAAAAGCTTTTTTTAAACATAACTTGATATAATTATTTTTAATAAGGTTCAGGAATTGTTTTTAATAAGGTTTAAAGTATAGTACCAAATAAAATTTAAAAAATAGGGGAACTTACCTCACTAAATACTAAAATGTAAACCTATGGTGACATAGGCCTATAATCCTGGCATATAAGAGGAGCACATACAAGTTCAAGGCCAGGTCAGGCTACATAAAAAGACCCTATGTAGGAAAAAGAAGAAAAACAATGTATACTGTATTCTGTCATTTGCTTTCAGTCCGTGCCTTTACGAAATTAGAGTGTGTCTCTTGAAAATATTATTTGGTTGATTTTTAAATTCAATTTAATGAGCTGGTGCTTAATTTTCTCATGTAAATGAAAAAAATAATGTATTTATGTTTAAATCTGTGTTCCTGCCATCTTACAGGATAGTTGAGTATTTTTCTGGTGTTGCATTTTTTTTCTCCTTGGTTGACTTTTATCTTAGTCTGTTTTGTATTTCTATAATGAAATACTTGAAACTGGCTAATTTGTAAAGAAAATAGGTTTATTTAACACACTGTTCTGCAGGGCCAAGGACATTCTAACATCTGCTTGGTTTGTAGGTGATAGATAACATGTAGGGGGAAAGAGCGGTCACAAGGCAAGAGAAAGCAGGAGAGCAGGGAAGACCAGGCCTATTCAGAGAAATGAATCCACCCCTATAAAACCCAACCTACTCCCTGAGCGTAGCATTAATAACCCCTGTAGGGGTTGGTTGTGACCATTCATCTCCCAGGAAGTTTCATCTCCGAAAGTTCCCACTGCTACAGTTCCAGTAGAGACCTAACTCCTACCATCTGAACCCCAGAAGCCTTCTCTCTTTATTTGTAGGCTTCATCATTATTAGTTACTGTACAGTCCTAGAATTATTCCATGAACCCCTAACATCCCAGCGTCTCCCCGTCTGTCTCTGCCTCTGTCTGGGTTTGCAGTGCTGGGATCTAGCCCAGACATCGTGTGTGCTGGGCCAGTCAGTACTCTACCCCTGATTTGCATCCTCACCCCGTAGCCTTTTTTTTTTTTTTTTTTTTCCTTTTAAAGATTTAATGTATCTGAGTGCTCTATCTGAATGTACACCTTCATGCCAGAAGAGAGCATCAGATCTCAGTGTAGATGGTTGTGAGCCACCATGTGGGTGCTGGGAATTGAACTCAGGACCTCTGGAAGAGCAGAGGTCTTAACCGCTGAGCCATCTCGCCAGTTTCAGGTGGTAGTTAGCTCCCACAGGAGTGCTAGTAACGGAACCTGGGTACCAGGAGCAATAAATGCTATTAGCCACTGAGCCATCTCCAGTTCCCTTCACTTAATTTCTGTGAGATTTACTTTTATGTGTATGTATTTCTATGTGTGTGCCACATGGGCTGTGGGTGCCTGTGGAGGCCAGGAAAGCGTGTCAGACCTCCTCTAGCTGGAATTAGGGGTGGCTGTGAGCAATGTGGGCGCTGGAAGCTAAGCTTGGATCCCCTAGAAGAGCAGCAAGTGCTTTTAACTGCTGCATCTATCGCTTCTTCTTTCAACTCCAGCAAGTCCTTTATCATTACATTATACCTGCAGCCCATATTTATTTTCACTTATCGTTAATATCCATCTACCTACCTACCTACCTCTCTATCCATCTGCCTACCTCCCTCCCTCCCTCTCTATCCATCTACCTACCTACCTACCTCTCTATCCATCTATCCATCTACCTACCTACCTACCTCTCTATCCAACTGCCTACCTACCTCCCTCCCTCTCTATCCATCTGCCTACCTACCTACCTCTCTATCCATCTATCCATCTACCTACCTACCTACCTATCGTGTTGTGTGCATGTGTATACCATGGTACATAAGTGGAAGTGAGGACAGCTTGCAAAGTTGATTCTTACCTTCCATTATGTGCTCTGGGAATTAAACTCACACCAGGTATGGCTGGAAGCACCCTTACCTACAGAGCCACCTTGCTGGTTCCACTGATCCTTGCTTAATGCCAAATTCTGTTAAACCTAGCAAACATTTTTTTAACTTGACATACTATTTGACAAATCCTGAATTTCTGTGTTGTTACTTTTGAGTTTTCATTTCTCTTGTAAAGCTCACTTTCTGTTCACCCATTTTATCCGTGTTTTTTTCCAAGTTATTTAACAGATTCTTTGTAGTCATCTTTGTATTTTCTAATATAAATTCGCATGTGGGTAACTCCAGCACCTGAGTCAACTTTTGAGCTGTTTCTGACCTTATTTGCTTCAGTGTCCCAGCAGAAGGTAGAGTAAACAGATAATCCCCCTGGAGAGTTCACAATTTCTACATCTTCTCCTTTGTCTGGGAGCTGGGATATGGACCAAATCGAGTCTTCTGCTGGGTTAGACCATGTTGCAATTGTAAATACGCTCAGTTTATTTCTGACTTCAAGTAAGTAGTAAGCTTAGTTTCTCCTTGATTGGGTATGTCTCTTATGTACACAAGACCAAAGAATCCTTGCTTTGCTTTTCAGCTAGCACCAGCTTCCTATGAAGCTTCACAAGGGCTCGTTTCTTTGATCTCATCTCAGGTGACATGCATGGGGGATGTGCTGCAGCTGTACCTAACTGTACTTGACGGTGCTGCCCATGGCATTGATAAATCTCACAGACACAGTGAGGGAAAGACACCAGATTTTAAAAAAAGCCTGAACTATGATTCCATGTACATGAACTTTAGACAGACTTAATCACAGTGTTAGAACTAGGCCTGCTGTTCCTTGTAGGGAGGAAGGAGAGGTGGTAATTGCAAAAGGATGAGGAGGGCTGCTCACAAGCTCTAATATTTCTTTGTCTTGATGTGTTTGCTTTGTAAAAGCTTTATTGAATACACTGCTTGTGCTTTGGTCTCTCTCTCTTCCTCTCTCTCTCTCTCTCTCTCTCTCTCTTTTTGGTGCATTTTTAAATTTAGTTAGGCAACTCTTGTAACAAAACCAAACAAAGCCCAACCATAAACCAAGCATGGTGGAACATATAATCCTAGCTGTCAAAAGGTTGAGGCAGGAGGATTAGAGTTTGATTTAATAGTAAGAACCTATTTCAAAAACAAAGTTAAAAATAAAAGTCACACCTAGATTGGGAGAAGACACATGAAACAGTATTTGTATTTAGAGTATTTTTAAGATTTTTCGTGTGTGTGTGTGTGTGTGTGTGTGTGTGTGTGTGTGTGTGTGTGTTGCTAGGAACTGAACTCTGGTTCCTGGAACCCATATGTGGTGGCATGTGCTAGTCAGCCCAGTGCTGAAGAGGTGCTAATGAGAGACCCTATTTCAACGCAGGTAAATGGTATTCCTTTGCTTGTCTTCTGGTGTGTGTGTGAGAGAGAGAGACAGCAAGAGATCACACACACAGAGCTGTTACTTTGCGTCTATCTGCATCACCATAAGAACAAGTAGGTGAAGCAAAAGGAAAGATGTGAGAGAATCTTTTCTCTGTTTTATCCTCCGGTATCCTCCGTTAGTGGAGCTCAACAAGATTTTTTCAGCAGAGATGGGTTTAAGTCCCTGACAGGTGACTAGTTCAGAATTCTTAAATAAGGTTATCACTTTTCCTTATTTTATGGTTCTGCTCAGCAACTGCTGTTGTTACAGTCTCTAATTTTAGCTATTGGAGAGATTGAAGGAGGGGAATCACAGTCTGGGAGTTCTTGAGGACAGCATGTTTAACAAAGCAAAACTCGCATCTCAAGAAATAAAAAATAGTGTCAAATTCTAATTGTATGTTGGGTAGGCTTGAAATCCCAACTCACAGGAAGTAGACGAAGGAAAATCCTGAATATGACAGATCTTGTATCTATCACTCCCCAAAATGCTGCCAGGTGTGGTGGCTTATGCCTGTAATCCTAGCACTTGGGAGGCTGGGCCAGGGAGATTACTTTCTAGGACAGCCTAGGCCACTAATGATTTCTAGACCATCCCAGGCTACAGAGTGACTCACACTAAAGAATAAAAACCCCAAAGCAAATATTTGATACTTGAATTGATAAGGGTATAGATACTCAAAAAATACCTGGTTTTACCCTCTAACTTTTTAAAAAAAAATCATAAATACATCTATGAACAGTAAAAAAATACCCACAATTTATGTCAGCATAGCTGGTTAACTATGTAATTAACTACGTAATTACTGAGGGTTTTAATTTTAGACGCAGAATAATGATGTCAGTTCAAGTAGTCAAAGACATTTTGTGGAGCACAGAAGTGGAAGTCATCATATCTTACAGGTCCTCCCAGGAAGCAGGCAGAAGTTTGCACAAACAATCGTGTGCAAGCCCCTCCCACATCTTGAATAGCTTGGTTGTTAAACTGTGTGCTAGGCAACAGCCTTGCTTTCTCTTCCCTTGAAAATCAGGAGTTTGCTTTCTTATTTCTGTATCTCTATAAAACTTGCAGGCTACATATTTTGAGATGAGGAAGGTTGATCTCTGTTTGAGCTCTGAAGGGACTGAGGTGATCCTGGCTACCTCGAGTGATGAAAAGCACCCGCCTGAAAATATCATTGATGGGTAAGAGTGACTCTTCCTTTTGTCCTAATTCTAGGAGCCCCTCGAGTACTGGGGCCCTATTTTATTACAGCTGACACTATTAAGCAGTTTAATAAATATTTAGTGAGCTAGCTGACTCCATAGTATCTATTTGCAGAGTCATTCTTTGAACTAATTCAATTATGAATAAGGTTTTTATCCTTATTAATTCTTACACTGACCTCTTTGTGCAAACAAGTTCAATTCTTTTTCATTTTATTCTCTTCTTCAGTGCTGAAAATTAGACCCAGGCCCCTCCTATCACAGACAAGTGCTCTACTATCATGCTGTTCCCTCAGCTCTTTTTATGTTTATTTGTGCTTTGGGTGTTCTAAGACAGGGTCTTACTGAGTAACCCAGATTCATAGTAAACTTAAAATTCTCCTGTTTCAGAGTCTGGAATTATAGTTGCATTCCACCATTCCTACTTTTCACATAGATGTGCATTAGTGCTTTGAGATTTACTCATTTGCTTATAGGTATGTATATGCCCCACATGCAATGCCTGAGGGCAGAAGAAGGTGCTGGGTCCCCTAGAACTGGACTTATAGACAGTTGTGAGCTGCTGTGTGGGTGCTGGAAACCAAATCCAGGTCCTCTGCAAGAGCAGCCAGTGCTCTTAATTGTTGAGCCATCGCTTCAGCCCAAAAATAGGTTTTAAAGAGTGGTTTGCCGAGACAAAAAACCAAAACAGTAACTTCATGTTATGGAAGAATAAATTTTAATATCTGTTTTTGGTTTAGTTTCAGATTTTTCTTGGAAATAGAAATATATAAACATTATTACTTCACATATACTGTTTGTTTGCTTGCTGGTTTATGCAACATCTTTGCTAATCTGAATGCCTCACTTCTTGCCCTTCCTGCATTGTGTGTTTCATTCCAATTTCCACTTGGCCAGAGCTAGAGCTTATTCTAGGTAGAGGTGAGTAGTGTTCTCAGACCTTTAATTCCAAGAAAAAGCGGCTGATGGAGAACACACCTCTTTTATTTACCTTAAAATTTTACTTTATATGTAGGTTTTGCCTGCACAGACATCTTTGCAGATGTGGTCAGTGCCTGGAGAGAATATCTTGACAGGAGTTACAGACCATTATGAGCCACCATAATGAGCCATTATGAGCCACCATATTCTTCTGGGAGAATAGCCAGTACTCTTTTTAAATATAATTTATTTAATTTTATTTTATATGCATTGGTGTGAGGGTGTCAGATCCCCTGGAACTGGAGTTACAGTTGTGAGCTGCCAGTGGCTGCTGGGAACTGAGCCCACCCAGGTCCAGTGGAAGAGCAGCCAGTGCTCTTCACCACTGAGAACATTTCTTTTAAATAGCTCATTTCTTTTAAATAGCTTATTATTCTTAAAACCTTCAGGGTGTATGCATCATCACAATTCGGTGGAATCATACTGTTTTAGAGCTGAAAAGATTTATTAGGCTATCTTTACTTTAGACTTGTAGAAAGACAGGTGTACACATTAAACACTTAGTTTTACTTGCTTAGGCAAAGCCAGTTATATTCTATTGTGTGGGGACAAGATCTTTGCAATCAGACTTTTTCCTTCACGATCAGCTGCTGCTCCTTGCTAACACATTTTCCCTCAGGTGGGGTTGCTTCATGTGCTTGCTAGACCCCAGTAGCACTTGCTTTAAGTCCCTGTTATAAAAATTGTCTGATTTGATTTTTTTGTTTCTTTTTTAATTGCTTATCTGTAATGTTATATCCTCTCTCTGCTATGAATTCTTAGAGATCAGCTTCTGTTTTGCTTATCTTTGACTCTATAGGATTTTGAACTGTTTGTTGATGAGGTTGTTGATTTAAAAGACCAAATATTTGTTAAACTTGGCTAAAGTTGGAAAGTCTGAGAGAGGAATTTATACACATGTATGCTTGAGGGCACACACACATACATCTGTGCACACTTATGTATGTGACTGCAAATTTGGGGCTTTACAATTTGGGAAGTAATAAACACATATAAAAACTTCACCTGGGCATGGAATCTCATACCTAAAGTCTTATAGTCATGGGCAGTATAGGCTGAGGTAGGAGGAGTATTGCTTTCAGTGCTAGCTTGGTCTACATGAGACCCTGTCTCAAAAGGCAAAAAGGAGATTGAAGAGCTGTCTCAGAAGGTAAGAGTGCTTGCTGCTCTTGGAGAGGAGTAGAGTTTGTTCTCAGTGCCCATGTTAGATGGCTCACCACCTCCTGTAAACCCAGCTCCACACATATACATAAATAGAGTAAATAAAGTTTTTTTTTAAAGATTTATTATGCATACAGTGTTCTGCCTGCATGTATGCCTGCAAGCCAGAAGAGGGCACCAGATCCCATTTACAGATGGTTCTGAGCCACCCTGTGGTTGCTGGAAATTGAACTCAGGACCTCTGCAAGAGCAGCCAGTGCTCATAATCTCTGAGCCACCTCTCCAGTCTGTAAATACACTTTTTGAAAAAGTGTTTTCATCCTCATTTTAAAGATTAACAAAGATTACCAAAGGTAAAACAATTTGTTTTAAAAAACATACCAGTAAACGAATGATAGAATGAACACGCATGTCTTCTAAATCCCAATTAGAGGATCTATTTGATAGCACAAACGTAAGGCTTGAATCAGAGACTTAGCACCTGCCTTTACTTGTGTCTCATGGCTTTCCTTTGTTTTGTATTTCCTGTGAAAGGCAAGTAATAGTTATTTATCCCACTGATGTGGTATAGAAAAATTAGAGTACATATATACACAGAACTGCAGAAAATTGTCTTAAGTTCTTCATTCAGAATAGAAATCTTTCCGGAAACACCCATCACTTTTAATTGGAGATGTATCACTTTTCTAAGGCAAGATCAATTCCATTTACCCTGCAACACCCCCCTCTTTTTATAGTCTAAAAATGTGATGTGTGTGAGTATTTTCTGCACGTGTGGATATGTATGTCCTGTGTGTGCCTGCTGCCCATGGAGGCAAGAAGAGAGCATCAGATCTCCAGAGATTTGAGCTGTAGGCAGTTGTGAGTTCTCATGTGGGTGCTGGGAACTGAACCCAGGTCCACTGCATGAGAAATACATTCTCTCAACTGCTGGGCCTTCTCTCCAGCCCTTTTTTTTATTGTGTGTGTGTGGTTTTTTTTTTTTTGTTTGTTTGTTTGTTTTGTTTTGTTTTTTGACAAAGTCTGAAGTGTGGAGCTGACTGGCGTTGACCTTGCCAGGATCCTTCCATCTTAGCATGAGCCAGCCCACCCTGTCAGCATGTTGTGGGTTTCTTCCGCTTACATGATTTAAGGTTCCTCTGTCTTTTCCATATCACTGCTTATTTTTTGTTACTATCAGACAGTTTCAATTGTGTTGATAGAGCATATAGTATTGTGTGTTGTAAGTAGGTAGACATTATTTGTAGTTTTCCACTTTTACTTAAAAACATCAGCATAGGGCTAGTGAGATGGCTCTGCAGGTGAAGACACTTCCTGTTCAAGCCTGATGACCGGAAATTGAATGCCAGAATCCACAGAAGGAAGGAACTGCTTCTGAGTCCTGAAAAGTTGCCCTCTGACCTCCGCCACTTAAAGGCCACTGTTTGCTTTAATACATCACATACATTAATGATAATAATAATATAGATAATAAGGAAACTCAATATAAGAGAAGAAAGCACATGCTGACAGGTCTAAAAACTCAGAAAACCCCAAGTTGGATCAATATAAAGATCATGTCCCAGTAAACACTGAAAAAGAAAGAAATATTTAAACAACTGGAGCAAAAGAACTAAGATTTGCTGAGGACCAGCGGTGATGATGACAGTAGGCTGGCTTACTAGAGCGAGCTCAGCAGCAGCATAGTGTCTGACAGATGCTAAGGAAGAAACACAAACATAAAAATTGTCAACCCGGAAGTTCTTCCTTACTAAAACGTAGTTCCAAAGTAATATCTTATTTGTTACAAGTAAATCTGCTGACAGAAAATATTAAAGGAAGTTTGCAATTTGAAAGGGTATAAGGCCAGATGAAAACTCAAACCTATATGAAATGTATTAGAAATAGTAAATATTTGGATAACTTTAAATGCCTCTATTTTTCTGAGTGTTTTTTTTTTTGAGAGCTAGCTAATCACGTAATGATTAAAAATATTATATTGTGGAATTAATTATATATGTAAAATATATAACAATAGCATAAATGAAATTCCAGGTGACTTGACAAGGCTCTCTTTCTACCCTTTTTTCCTACTTTTTCCTGTGTTTTTGTGTGTAGCATACGTGGTGGTTTGAGTAAGAATGATCTCCATAAGCTCGTCTATTTGAGTACTTGGGCCCAGTTCTTGGAACTGTTTGGAAAGGATTAGAAGGCATGGCCTTGTTAGAGGAGGTGTGTCATTAGGCCTGGGCTTTGAAGTTTTAGGAGCCTGTGATGTTGCCAGTTACCTCTTTGCCAACGAGTATGTAAGCTCTCATTGATTTCAGTGCCATGTATGACTGCCTGCTGCCATGCTTCCTGACATGGTGGTAATAGCTAACCCTGTAGAACTGTGAGCCCCAGTTTTTATTTTTTTATCAATTGCTTTGGTCATGGTGTTTTATCATAGCAATTGAAAAGTGACTAAGATACTGTACATGAATGAGTGTGTGTGTGTGTGTGTGTGTGTGTGTGTGTGTGTGTGTGTGTGTGTGGTGTGTTTCTGTGTGGGTGTATGTGGAGTCCTGAGATTGATATCCAGAATCTTCCTCTATTTATTGATTGCTCTTCCACTTTATTTACTGAGGCAGGGTTTCTCGGTGAAATCCAGAGCTCACCAATGACAAGGCCAGTCTTGCTAGCCAGCTTGCTCTGGGCATCCTTTCACTCCACCTTTCTAAGCTTTGTCTATCTGGAATTGATATGAGGTCTAGAGAACCAAACTCTGTCTCTCTTGCTTCCATGGCAAGAACTTTAACTGCTGACCCATCTCCCCAGTCCCACAGGTTCTTATACAGTAACTTCGAGAGTTACCACTA